ATATCATGTATCTTCTCCTGATACTGCACGTTCAAATCAAAATTAATGTCATTTTGCGTTTGCTGAACGACTGATATTTAACCGCCAGGATTTCCTCATAATGCAGTGTAAGGACAGAAGAACGGGAATTCCATGCTGCTGCGCTGATTCTGAAACACTTCTGATGTGCACCCACATTCGCTTGTCACAGCATGGACGTCCCGTTCCTCAGCCCTTAAACGTTGTTCGGAGGGAATATTTGCCACACAATATAAGTACTTTATTGTCATTGTGCACGCTTGTTCACAGTCACAATTAATTAATTCTATTATTGCCAAAGGTCCCTCGGAATACATTGTATGTGGTGAACAACGGGACGTTCATACTGCTGTACTTATTGTAGTACAACTACGCAATTGGTGCTGAGTGGCTCCCAGATCTACGTCCTCATAAGCGAAGAACGATTTCGGTAGGAAGAAACATGAGATCATTGAAGGCAATGGTCATTCAAGGAATGACTTTATCGATGCAGACGATGAGGTTTCACAACGTTCTTTACCGTGAAGAGTAGCTTATTCATTCTCGCAGAGCGTCACTGATAAAATCGCAAGTCTATTTGAAAACAAATCAAATTCCAAGAAATCGCCCAAGGGACGACGAAAATCCCGCAATGGGAAAGGAAAACAGTCGCAGGGAACGAAGATCGCACCTCAATCACCCGTCTTAGAGGCGGAGTCTGATGTGGATTTGAACTTACCAATTTCCGATCCTGTTCTTCTGCCTACTCAAGTAAGTCATGAACTCTCATATATTTGCAGAAACGTATGACAATTTCTAGCATGATGAGTCTTCACTACTCAAAATCGCTGTCTCTGACGTCGATAGGTTTAATAATCAGGTGCGCGTCGATTCTATACCTTATTTCATGTGCTATTGACTCTTACATAGCATCACGGATACAATCGCAACTCATTTTAAAGTACACGGGAAGTCGAGGAATTCATCAAAGGAACGAGGCAATGTCCGTAAGGGGAAAGGAAAGAAGTCGGATGGCAAGAAGAAGGCACCTAAGGTACCTGTGTTGAAGGTTGATTCTGACGAGGAGGGGACGCCACCTATGCCTAATCCCGTTGTTCATTCGGATGATGTAAGTGATGCACGAGTATTTATTTCAAGCTATGTATGACTATTTACAGCACGATGTGACTTGTGAAATTGATATGTCGGATGTCGACGTTGCAGGATATGACCAAAGGCCTCTTCCACCCAATGAAGAGAAATGGGATGCTTTAACTACACTCTCATTTGAGACAGAAAACTCCCAATTTTTTTTGTAACTCTCTACCTGGATGCTGGCTCGATTTCGCGACCTGACAAACATAGATATGGATTCCAACCTCGACGGCCTTGTCATTCCGCAGAATCCACGGCTAATGGAGCTTGATCAATATCATTACTTCGAAGCGGTTGGTATGGAACGCTTGTATTCTGCAATTGTGCACATGGAGTCACGGCCACGTTACTTGTGTTATTTTATTCACTCGGAAGACTCCTAACAGAGTCTGACGTTGGCAGTGGTAATCCACGCATTTTGCCTAGTCGCTCTCCACCAGCCGTTCAACGACAGTGCGTACTTTCAATTCAAATTGTGGCAATCTGACAGCTAAAACATGATGATTACTGACATGGACATTCCCTGGTTAGGGATAAACACTGATGTCCCGCCAGATCCTCGGTCAGCCTTTACTAACTTAACTCATGATTATGCAGAAGGATTTGGTGACATTGATGGGCGCGATGTCACACAAGCGTTAGATTCCATTATTATTAGAGAAAATGACATCCCTGTTAATAATGGAATTGATGTCACTGCATCGAGGCTTGAAAAGCGTAAGAGGACATTATCGCAAGCGTCCCACCAAAAGGTCAGCAATCGTCTCCATAGTTACTTAATTTGATATTGATCTGTATTAGAAGGATGGCGGCAGAGGAACTCCAAAGCGTGTCAAGCAGGGCTCTGAAACTAACGTTAGATCAAGTTCTATCATCCAATCCTTATCTGCACTCGACCAATCTGGATTCGCATACTCGCCAAACCTACCTTGTCATCTCAAATTTCCAACGTCAGCAGTCCGCCGGATAATTCATCCGAGATAATGCAGGCATGGGATGATCCGATTCAAACAAATACGAAATATAATGACACGCTGCATAAAGGTTTGATTTTACACGCGGATCGCGGATGCATGGATGATTTATTTGATTCACAGATGCTACTCAGCAGTCGTCGAGTGAAACCCGTCCTATTCAATCCGACGGGCACGATAAAAATGACACCTCGACGTCCATATCTGCCGATCAAGCTGGATCTTCCAGTCCTGTAATCCTGGTACATGGCACTCTAACGTCCCCAAATTAGTGTCACATGGATACAATACCAGAACTACTACCGACTACAACTATCATTATACAACCTAAAGACACATCATCCGTGATCACCGCTCTCCACGAGCAACATTCAGGTTCAGTAGGGAGTACATTCACAAACGAAAATGCCACTCAGCCTCGCGTGAATTCCTATCATAACTGTGAAGTGAGTGGGATCAGGTCACATCATACCATGAAATCGTTAATGAGTCAGATAGAGTTGGTTGAAGAGAATGACCCGCCGCCGTACGTCAGCGAACAAGTATACGAGTGATCGCGTTCGCAAATCATCCGATTCTTCATGCTCTTACGAATAGTATTTTTTTCTGTCGCGTCGAGATACGTCGTTCATTCATGTAAAATTATTTTGCACGATGCGTTCAAACGAACGTACTCTTCTCAACCAATTGTGTCATATAATATTATATTTCCTACGCAATTGAAGTATATGTCACGCCATCATTGATCAATATTCCACGTAAATTCAATTGTTTGTACACTTGTTTTGCATACAAGTAATGCATAACGTAATAACGATGTGCCTGCCCTAAAGTTCCATGTGAGACTCCGGAGTTTAATGAATAGGTTTCTCTCTAACAGTCGTGTCGTTGTCTGAATGTCCAGCATGTCTGACGTAGACCTTCTTGATCTAACAATCGGTGTACTTGGAACACAAGTTCCTCAACGAAGCCCAACTATCAAATGGCGAGATGGCCATATAACCGTTCTTCCAGCGATTTACAACGGTTCTACCATTAATATTTGCGATGAGGTTGATATTCCCTTCATTAAATTCATATCGCAATGTCCTCAGTCTAAGGCCGGTTCCACACACGTGTCCCATATGCGAAACGAGGACCTCTCTGCTCCAAACATTCTCGATACCATCGCGGACACTCTCGCCCTCAATATGTGTGTATTAATCACAGGTGTCCCACATAAATCGCCTGGGAGGATTATTACGGATGAGTACTTGGACGTTCAATTTGGAATATCACCATTGCGTCCATTATGCATTCATGGTACGCGTTAACAAGATTGAAATACTTGAAACAGTTGTTAATGAATACGATAGATGCACAGAAGAGATGCCATGACCATGTCAATCCGACAATCCAGGGAAATATACATTCATTTATGAAGTCGATGTTTGATCCAACGAAAATTCAATGTATTCTCGACATACCCCTCGCTCAAATCAGTATGCCTGAAGCGCTAAGGTATTCAAATAATTATTTTATTGACATTACAACGTTCATGGCTCAATCTCACAGAAATCTGGATCACGGCCTTGTGCACGGGTGGAATCAGACAACCAACTGTGTGCCAATCCGCTCACACGTCCATCCAGACAACTTCACCGCAAAGGGATGGGCTTTGCTACATCACGCTGGATTTGTAACTTACCCTCATCACGACGCTGAGGGAACCCTGACGTGGGTAAGAATGGAGGCTGGCATCAAGTTCTGGGCGATTTTTTCGTTGAGGGATGGAGCGAACAATCGAATTGGTTTGCAGGATCTCTCGGTCAAACTTGCAGACTATGCTAGGCATAAAACATGGATTCATAAGAATTGCGATGCCGAAGTGCTAACGCTTCGTCCGGGGGATATGTTGTGAGTGTTTTATAATTTTGTATATTCCATTTCTGATGTATAAAAAAAGAATACTGCCTCCTGGCGTTGTACATGCGGTGTATACGCCAGTACCATCATTTTCAACAGGCGGGCACTTTTACCATTATTCGTGCATGCACCTTACGGAACTCGCAAGGTATATCGACGCTGAAGTTGGAGAATCTACGACAAATCAAGCTATGGATCACGCGTTGGAGACCTTGCGACGTATGGTTATTATGCTTCCTTATCTGTCACGGAGAGTAGGTGAGTAAATCGTATCTTTAGATGTATCTTGGTATGACCCGGCTTTCAGTGCTTCCGCGACGAGCGTTGTTAAGTCTATGCCTGATGGCGTGCAAAGGTAGGCAGTATCGGGCCGCTGGAAGTAATGCAAGCTCCGTGGAGGACACTGAAACTGCACCTCCATGCTTCCATATAGTTCAGGTTGTCTATGAATTCCTTGGAATAACACAGCGCATACGTGCTGGAGATATCCTGTACACAGGTGATCAGCTGCACCCAGGTATCGAAGTTGATCGTATGGAGCTACTCCGATCCTTCAAAGATAATCTGGACCTGTAGGGGTTGTATTCCCCGTGCACTGTACACATCTCATTCCTTAGATATTATGTATCTCCTCCTCGTACTGCACTTTCAAATTTCAATATATGTCATACTGTGGACACCGATAATACAGTACTTCAATTTTTGCCAGAATTACCTTGGAATACCTCGTAAGGGCTGACGAATGGAATGTCCATGCCGCTGCGCTAATCGTAGCACCATTGTGAAGTAAACCCACAATGGTTCGCCAGTGACTGCGTACAGAGTGTCCACACCCAAAACAAAATACCTAGATTACGTCTACCATTCCCTGCGAATATAGCGTAAGGGCTGAAGAATGGGAGGTGTTGCCACAATTGGAGAAGCAGCATGTACTTTTCGTTCTTTAGCCCTCACGCTGTATACAGAGGGAATCGTGACAAAAGTGGAAGTACTATATTGACTGTGCACGCTTATCATCGAGCCCCTTAGCAGATATTTTGGTTTTACTTTAAAGTTGTGCCACAACTAGCACATAAGCATGTGTTGACGCTTGGTATAAAATACTGAACAGCCATTGTAGTTTAATCTTACCATGGCCCCAAAACCAGCGCAGCAGCATATAATTCCAATGCTTCAGTAATCACACCGTATTACGAAAGTAATTTGTGCAAATTCATGTCACATTTGCCTGTTAATAAAGTGGAAGGGCTGACAAATGGGACGTCCATGCTGCTGGGTGTGGCACAACTGTAAAGTAAAACCAAAATATCTGCTAAGGGGCTCGATGATAAGCGTGCACAGTCAATATAGTACTTCCACTTTTGTCACGATTCCCTCTGTATACAGCGTGAGGGCTAAAGAACGAAAAGTACATGCTGCTTCTCCAATTGTGGCAACACCTCCCATTCTTCAGCCCTTACGCTATATTCGCAGGGAATGGTAGACGTAATCTAGGTATTTTGTTTTGAGTGTGGACACTCTGTACGCAGTCACTGACGAACCATTGTGGGTTTACTTCACAATGGTGCTACGATTAGCGCAGCGGCATGGACATTCCATTCGTCAGCCTTACGACATAAGGCAGGAGTAAGCTTGCCTTCACATGATGTTTGATTTCACAATCGGACATGTTGAATAATTTAACTACAGTATGGATTATTGTGCGATGCGCATTGGCACGTCGAGTACACGATGAACACGAACATGTCTCGCATGCATCAGCCCAGTCATTCTTCAAGGTAAGTAATTGCCGTGTTAGGAGTCAATTGAAAATCTGGTATAATTTCCGGTGGCGTGAGAAAGTCACGTGATGAGAAGTTTATATATTTGCCCTTCGCAAATTTTTCTCTTTCTTTCTTACCATCACCTTCGCTTGTGGTTTTCTCGCCTCTATGGGCGTTCACCGTCGATGACGGTGGCCACCTTCTCCTTCGTCGTGTCTTCTCCTTTTCCCATGGATTTCATGGTTGGTGGTGGTTCCTCGCCTCTATGGGCGTTCATCATCGATGATGGTGGCTACCGTTATCCGTCGTCCTTTTTTTCTTATCTTCTCCTACTTACTTTTTTTTCTTTTTCTTTTTGGACTTTGGTTGGTAGTTTATCGCCTCTATGGGCGTACATCATCGATGATGATGGCTACCTTTGTCCGTCGTCGTGGGCTATTCGTGTTCCGTTTCCATCCGACTTTCCTTCGCCATCCTAGCGCTGCCGTGTTGCTGCTCCTCTGCGTTTGGCTTTAATGAATGGTGAGTAATTGCCTCTATGGTGATTGACCGTGGATGACAGCAACCACACTGGATTGATCGCGTGTCGTTCCTCATGTTCTATGTCCTATTCTTTGCACGCAGTACGGATGGCGGTGTCTGGCCTTGACGAGCTTTCACCGTCGATGGTCTTCACCTATCCTCCGTCTTGTGTTTGATTGCTGCCACTCGCGACTCGTTGATTACCCTTCTGTATTGTGTGGCTTGCAACCACATTGGCCGGCGGTCTCTTGCCTCGACGGGCTTTCACCGTCGATGCTAGTTACCTGTCCTTCGTCTGTTTTGTCTGGTCGCTGCCGGCACTCACTGGTGTCGTGCATGACTCGTAATATATGTACATGTATATATATTTGAATATATTGGCATTGTTATGCTGCTCATGACTGCCCGTTCGTCGCTTGACGTACCCGCGAATATTATACCTGAGGTGCCACAAAATTGGTAGGTATAATCTGTGACTACACACTGTAGATTCCTCTCTCCACGCTACTTGTAGTCGCTCGCGTTGTGCGTCAAACAAACATTCTACATTGACCGTGTCTTGAAAATGAATTGTATGGAGATAAAGGTCTGAGAGCATCAGAAAGACATAACGTCTGCGGCTGAAATCATGCGCTGTCCCAAGAGATGTCTTTGATGTTTGAAAGGTTAAACACACTACAGTCTAAGTTAAGCGAGTCTCCTACTGCAGTTACGCATTTCATGTTAATTGGATTTGAACAAGTGGTGACTAGAATTAAATTGATTCATTCAGCTTCCGCTATTCTGACGCAATATTAAATGGAAGTGTGACGTTGAAATATTTCTGGCAATGTATGTGCACATGTTGGCACAATAAATAACGAATATATTTATCAGGATCCATACCCGTGACAATGATATGAACTTTCTGTATCTATCGCTGAAGCTAGTCCTTCAAAATAATTAATACACCGCTCTCGATATGCGTATGTCATACAGTAATTGGGCATATCGTACGTACGATGAGACTTGGTTGTACTTTTGGAATCTTCGGTCAATACGGGCTACTGATGAACTGGGCTACAAATCAAAGTCTAAGTAAGGCAAATCCATGAAAAATAAGAAACTTGAATTTGACATCTCGTTGTGAAACATTCCGGAAGCTTATCCCTTAACGATCATGAATGCCAACCATCTTTAACACGAGTGCCTACCTGGTCCTCACTGGGGATGTCGGATGTCGAATTTTGGAATTTTGAGATTCCGCTGATTATGTAATCCATTGTATGGGTTTCACTCGCAACGAGTGGCGATTGCATTGTTCATCCATCATCCATCATCCATCATGCCCTCTGCCCTTCCACTAGAGATCAAGCAGAATATTTTTACTCTTTCCACACGTACCCGAGCTGCTGCTGTCAACCATTTGACGATCTCGCAAGAGATACATTCATGGTGAGCATTTGATGACATCATTCACAGATGACCTTCCGTTCACCCAATCATACGGTAGCTTGGAACAATTGGTTTATAGAAAAATTGTTCTACATGGTGAGGAGGATGCTAGACTATTTTTGGAATGTCTGTACAGGCGTCCTATGCCTGTTTCATTCGCTCTCCAATCCGTCAAAGCGCTATCTTTATCCGGTTCAATACAATCATCGACTGTGATAGAGATAATCTCCATCTGCAGGAGTGTTACATCGCTTCGTCTCATCCTCACGACAAATGAATACGCAAACAATGGATCGGTTCTGTGGCGTGCACTGGACGGCCTGCCACTCCAGGCATTAGTCCTTACCATCCGTATGCAGTTTCCATCTTTCCTCAGCGAATATCATACGTTCAGGAATCTCAGCCATCTCGAACTCAACGGTAATCACTTTCTTGCCGAGCCACAGGAAGAATTGGAGTTCTTCGAATCATTGACGCACATTTGCGTTGTGCTCAACCCGCACATTGCTGATCCGCAGGCAGTCATACTCCTGATTTCCAATGCGCAACTTCAGTTGCTTGCATTTCGCGTCGAGGATGGGCACAATGCTGTAGACGAATTCCTCGAAGAACATGGAATTTGCGATCATAGGATCGTGCTTTTGCCGTTTCAACTCCCAGTCTGGGGTGAACTCGGCCAGGGTGACATGTTAATGTGGGAGTTGGCAGAGGACCGGACGAAAATTCCTGTACCTCAGAATCGTGAGCCTCTTTGTTAAACTAAGGCTGATGTGTGATGCTCAGACACTACACTAGATCGCCACAGATGCTTACCACTTAGCACGATTCAGAATGCATACGCAGATTACCTCGATATTGCCAAAGTACCAGAATTGAATCCGTGCGCTGTTACGCGAAGGCACAGACGAAGATTGGTGGAAAAGGCTAGGACAAAGGGCCCACAGGTTTAGCAGTGGGGCACATCATAACGAGGTTCGTTGATGCTGAATCATGTATGCAATACACAAGTACGGAAGGTCTGTAAGAACGGCTGTGCAGAGCTGTGGAGGTCATTGAGCGTTTCATTCACGTCAGATATATGTACGTTGTAGTGTACTTGATATAACGTTATTCATGCTAGCGAGAGAGGGAGACCCGGAAGTCACATCACTGACCTCCCTATGTGCTACACAATCTACAGTTACAACAAAATGTCAGTGACCTGCTGATAGGAGCTTCCTCTGTGTTGATGAAGCCCGACGTTCTATCCACATCTATGTTGCGGTCTTGGACGGTCTCACTGCGCGGTTGTTAGTAAGGACATGCAGTGTCTTGTAAAATTATCCGTGCTTACAATACCTCGTTAAAACTAAGTAAACATCCGTATCGTTCGCATAGTTGTCAGCCGCCTTGAGATCTTGTCTTCATTAGATGTAGCAAGACGGGGAGGTGCGAAAACATCTATGTCCCTCGTCGCCCGTAGTATGTACAGCAAGTTAAACAAAGCAATTGGAAAGCGACGACTATAGTAATGGATAGGTCTTGCATTGCTTGCAATACCGATGCAGGTTATAAATCTTAAATGACTGTATATTCCGTCAGTAGCGCTTCTATCAGGAAGGTGAGTTCCCCGATGATCTTCGTGATGAGTTCGATAATAGAGTGAGAAACCTTTAATATACCATTTTGTGATCCGTAATCAATCAAACACTGGGACAACGTTGGCTCATGCACAGGCGCTCCAGTGTCCATTACACAGCTACTTCTGTTCCTTAGGAAGATGTGAAATATGATGCTTGAATACAATAACTGGTCACTAACCTCAATATGATGAACAAATTTCTTCAAATAGTTTAACCTGGAGGGAGCTAACGCAGGGGTCCCGTACCGTGTCTAAATATCAGAAACGTCCATCTAAATGTCTATACAGTCTGCTCGAAAAAACGAATAAAACATCCATTTACGCTCTCGTACTATCACAAGGGAGCTTTACCTACCAGACGTATCGATTGGACGATTATCGCTATCCATATCGACCTACCTCGTACATTTAATGAAGATATAGAGCCAGGAGTAGGAGGGGACACGTACATCTGATCACCCCATTGAACAGGCAATTCTTCATTGAGCAAGGCATCAAGTATTCTATGTCGCACTGTGTTGAATAAATTTTGGGGAACAACAAGTCTCAGAATAGCGGCTCGTAACGGTCCGCTACATTGTGCTTGTTGCAGCTAACGTAGATCTCGAATATATAGTATATTGTGTGTCTTTTGTTTGCAAAGACTGGATCTGAAGTGAAGTGGAAGACGAATTATCTCTTGGACGGTAGCGGAATCTGCCAAGAAATTTCAACGTCTGATGGGAACCTTGAATACCTGTGATGTATGACATACAGCGAATTTGCAAAAAGTAAGGCAAGGAGATAAATTGCACTAGTTAGTTACATGAGAACAGTGGATATTATTCTCTAAGTACGGGAGTCCAAGTCAGCTTTGTCAAAACATGCAATTACTGTATCTTTTAGCGCTGAAAATGACACCCTCCGTGCAATACCATCTTGAACGCTGTGTTCAATCATCCTGTCAATGTCCGTCCTATGTCTATCGTTTTCCTCCTCCAACCTACTGACATCGTTAGTGAGAACGTCAATTATATCCTGCTTATATCGCACGTCTTCCTCCAACTCGTCGATACGATCTTGATACTGTTCCAGTTCGTCGTGATGCATCATCCGTAGTTCTTCGATCTCTTGAAGATGCCTTATGTGCGTCTCCTCAAACTCCTTTTTATCTCTGAACCAATCTGCCTCCGAATTCTCGACGTCGTATTCCAGCCGTTCCAACATCTCAAGGAGAGTGTAGGCGTACTCCTTTATTGTGCGTTCCTGCGACGCAGAACCGAGGTCATTTAATTCCTTCTCCTTGTCCTTTTAATTCATGTCAATATTTACGATACAGGCTTTGGAAAAATACATACATCCGAGGATCTTCCAGCTGACTCTAAACGAATGCGCATCCGTTTGCTGGCTTTCGTAGGGGTAAGCGCAGTGTCTGCGGCACGTTTATAAGCAGAAAAGCACATCGTGTATGTGTATATCGCACAGAATGTGGTGTATAACTGACTATAGTGTTTGAATTAGTAGGGAGAGGTATGAGCGAACGTGAAGTTCGACATTTCCCTCGCCCATACATTATGTAAGCAAAATTGAACCACTACTCATATCGTAGCAGTGTCAGAACTCGATACTAACCTTCTCATTATAACCAAGCCCTGGCAATATTTATACGTGCTGTACTATATGATAGGATAAGTCTCATGTATTTTGTAGCATTCATAAAAAAATTTGTTGTTGAACTTTGATACTTTTGCCTTTGCATCGTGTCACGCTTGCAAGGCCATCGCGTGGTGTTATATCAGAAGTTTTAAGTACTTTACCTTTCTGTACAGCTTCTAGCGCCTCTCTAATTATTTGTAACCGTCGAGCAGTGGGTAGCTTAATATGACGCTAAACTCGGGCACTCTAGTCTCGGGGACCTCGATCATTTTTTTGAACTTAGTATGGATGATAGTCATCCCCGATACATCAATAAAGTCGTTTCTCCACATAGAACGATTTTATTATTATAATAAGGTGCCTCCACCTCTCAATTTTGCCTATAGTTATTGCTAAGTCGCATCACGATCTTTATATGTACGATGACTCAAAACCTCTTGAACACGCGCATGACCTACAGGTGGATACAACAAAGGCCGCTCGCAAGGGTATTCCTGGAGATCATAGAATACGATACTGACTTCGTAATTAAGTGCCAGGCTAGCTACAGATGTGCCGTTCACCGATCGACTTCATGGACCACTTTTACGGTGTCCTATTCTGCTTTGAATTGTAAGATGACAAATCTTCCCGGTATACATCGGACTTGTCAAGCGTCTACGTAATGAAGTCAAGGCCTCAACACCACCCATAACCGAATTTGCAAAGCCTCAACCTATTTTTCAAATGTGATTTCAAAACAAGGTAAAATACCGTTCTCCATCTCTGTTTGTCTCACTGGGTCCTTCCTATTAATGAAATACCGATTAACAAGCTAGATCAAGGTCAGGAATACTTAACTCGTTATTTTCAAGGTCATTAATCGCTTGGTATTACTCAAAAAATCAACCGCTCTCTCGTCACAAATTGTGTTTGCGTCTTCCTCCAATATGAACCAACATATGCGATATGGCATGGTGGCTTCGAAAGCTCCAATGGTATCGTTGAGGCCATCACAATTAATTCACACGGAGGTGGTGAAATAAATCCTCATTAGCGCGTGAATGGGTTAGACACCATAGATTCTACGAACTTGTAAGTTCAATTTTACCTTTCAACAGTATTTATGGGTCCGAATAAAAGGTTATCCAATTACACAAGGGTGCATCTGACACCTAATGTGTATTATTCCAACGGGGAAGTGACTAGAAGGGTATTTATCGTGGAGAATTATCTGCTACAACTGCTCAATTTACATCCGGTGAATATATGCAGAACTGTCCACTTGAGCATATTAATATCGAGAACGGCCAGTTATATCATGCCTTCACGGACAACTTCAAGGACAACATTCAATATATTACGAAGCCGAACACACGCAAGGATATCAAACGTTCGTTGTATCATAACAGTACAAGTTTCCAGATGTTTAAATCGTTGACGATATGAGACCAGAGATAGGCACAAATGGTCTCTTTGTTATTAAATTGTAACTTAGGTCTCGTTTGTCGTCAAGGATAGTGTTTTATTTGGGTTCTCAACAGCAACCATAACAGATATTTTCAGGTTTCCTCACGCATGACATACGATTTACATGCAAAATAATATCTAATTTCAAAATAAACGTTCCTCAACAATTTCACTACTTCTCCGCCGTTCAAAGGATGTTGTCTTGTAATATAATTGCCGTCACTGCATGGTATCATTTGTGAGCATTTTAAAACGAAACTCTCTTGTATATCGTTGACTTCTCAAATTGTACTCTGGCACAAATGAGTCGGTGTAAACAATGTTTATGGACGATTCTTAGGAAAAGTTCATCCTTAATTTAAATGCTCATTTACCTCTGGAATGGAATTCAATGTGGTGAAGACAACATGTTGTACAGTGATGCAGATGAGGACGGTGACATTTAAAGCTAGGTAGGACTCTATTGTGTTAGATTGTATTAAATATACAAGTAGGCATACTCAATACCCTCATGAAGTGCGCAGACACCTTGATTAGCAGTCTGATCGTCCACGAATGTACATGCGTGGCAGGTCACCATGCAAGAGGTTGTGGGTGTATCATTTTCTCAGCTGTAGTTTATCCTAGCTGTGCTAACTTGGCTAGGTCGATTGATTGGTGTTTGAATTGATCTACTGCTGCGAGAAGATATGAGAACTAGCGAATAAAATAAATACCTATAGTGGTGATTGCATCGACGAGAGACTCTCCTTCATCGATTGTCCATGGGAAAAAATGATCAATTGAGGAATGATAAGGAAGATACAATAAGATTCCGAGGTCAATGCAAGGCCAGAGCCCAGTCAAGTCAATATCAGAGGATGAGAAATGCGATAGCATAGGATATGAAAGTCAAGGGCAATAATAAGGAAGAGTACGAGTACGTACGACAAGACAACACACGACATGACAGTCGAGACGAGCGACGTCGAGTCAAGGATAAGGATCAGGATCGGATAAGATATGAAGCAACGGTCGAGTAAAATCAAGTCAAGCGAAATACATTCAAGAGCAGAAGATAAGGAAAGGATAATGGTACAAATAAGTGAAAGGGTATACGACAAAGATCAGGTCATCAGAGTAAGCATCGACATACCACGCTAGAGTCAAGTTAGAACCTGCCCGTTATTCAGCTTAGTTAGTTAGCTTCCGGATAAGAACGTCTTGCCTCTGTGTCTCGGTTCTCGTCTCTTAAAATGAAGAGACACTGGATATTATGATGCCTGATTGGTTCGTTAAATTTACAATCCAATGCGATATGGACTGATTTTTGGGTAGTCCAATGGATGTTCAATTTACTGTATTTGAACACGCATATGTTGGTGCAGGTGACAAGCATCCGCTGCTTGTTTATTATACCAAGCAACTTCGAGATTTGTGCGCTTCTCTCAAGCATACATTTTGTACTTGATCTCACTCGCCCCATAATTGGCATTATAACGTCTCAAGATCGACAAGCAACTCAACCACAACCGCCTGTTACATTCAACTTTCGCGGTCGGATCTACTTCCTTCAGACTAGGTTAAGTGTGCGCGCAAAGTAACTGAGACACCCCAGCTATCAAATGCACTGGCGGGAACGCGGAGCAACATATGTCTGCGCAAGTCATGACAGAGAGTGTGTTGGACTGGGAGAGCAACTAGAAGTTTAGAACTTGTCAGGTGTGTTGACCACGAGATTCGGGTGTATGGTGGACTCAGTTATAAGCTAAGTTAAGCTTGATAACTCGGCAGGTGGTGAAGCTTGGACTCGGCTTCTCGCATCGTGCGACCTTATCAGCACCGTTTCAATCCATGCTCAGGGTCTTCAGGCAGATATCTCAGTCCCTTAGATTACCATCATTTTATACACTAAAATAATCATCGATTCCTTGCGGATAATTAAAAAGAGAGGCTTCCCAATTGCTAAGTCTCGCGCTGCAGATATCCGACAGAAAATTGATGGTGGCTATAAGTCCCGGAATTCTCTAATCAGATTATCGTCAAATTCTCTTATAATCCCACATTCTCGCCAGTAACTGATTTGTGTCAAAGTCTGGTGAAGATAACAAGCACGAATTAGCTATATACAAACGGTGTACATAAATGTCTAAGTACGGGAATCCAAGTTAGCGTTATCAACAAATGCAATGATTGAATCTTTGAAAGCTGAAAACGACTCCCTTCGTGAAATACCATGCTCAACACTCTGTTCAATCAACCGATCCATGTCCTTTCTATGTTGATCAGTTTCCTCCTCCAACCGCTCGACATCGTCATTGAGATGGTCGATGATCGCCTGCTTATCTCTTACCTCCTCTTCTAACTCGTCGATGCGGTCTTGATATTGTTCGAGTTCATCTTCACGCGTCATGCGCATTTCGTCTCTCTCCTCAAGATGGCTCATGCGCATCTCCTCAAACTCCTGTCTATTCCTGGATCTATTCTCCTCCACATTCTAAGATATCATCGTCCTGGGAGGATGGGTCGTCCTCACTTCGACCGGACTGTGGAAATTTTCTTTATAGGGAGTAGACATCAAAGTGGTCATGCTCTCTGTTGTGAGCCCGACTGTGGTCTCAGGACCTTGCCAAGATCTGGTGTCATCGAGCTACAGCGGAAAAAAAATCAACATGCTCTCAGCCAAACCAATGCTGGGCCGCCGGCCAAAGTTCGTAGCATGGCACCCAACATGTCACAGTGTGCCAGCATAGGCGGTGGGGAAAATGCGACCAAACATGGCAAGAATGAAAAAGATACAGACAGACTGTGGGATCCTGGGGGTACCAAGGAAAAGTCAGGATTGCGAGAATATTATTATTGAGGGAGCTACATTCGAAATGAGCAAGAAAGATGGACAGTTTTGAGAAAAGCAGAGAGTTGGAGCGAAGATGATTCTAACCATAATTTTGTAACTACCTTTAGGTTAAGCTTGCGTTATGGTATATCAAAGGCCCTCATTTTGCGCAAATATGACATGTGGATATTTGCGCAAATATGCAGATGTCATATTTGTGTGGAACACTTGCAATCTCATTTTGCACAAATATGACATTTGGATATTTGCGCAAATATGATATGTGCATATTTGCGCAAATATGCAGATGTCATATTTGTGTGGAACACTTGCAACCTCATCTTGCACAAATATGACATTTGGATATTTGCGCAAATATGATATGTGCATATTTGCGCAAATATGCACATGTCATATTTGTGTGGAACACTTGCAACCTCATCTTGCACAAATATGACATTTGGATATTTGCGCAAATATGACATGTGCATATTTGCGCAAATATGCACATGTCATATTTGTGTGGAACACTTGCAACCTCATCTTGCACAAATATGACATTTGGATATTTGCGCAAATATGATATGTGCATATTTGCGCAAATATGCACATGTCATATTTGTGTGGAACACTTGCAACCTCATCTTGCACAAATATGACATTTGGATATTTGCGCAAATATGACATGTGCATATTTGCGCAAATATGCACATGTCATATTTGTGTGGAACACTTGCAACCTCATCTTGCACAAATATGACATTTGGATATTTGCGCAAATATGATATGTGCATATTTGCGCAAATATGCACATGTCATATTTGTGTGGAACACTTGCAACCTCATCTTGCACAAATATGACATTTGGATATTTGCGCAAATATGACATGTGCATATTTGCGCAAATATGCACATGTCATATTTGTGTGGAACACTTGCAACCTCATCTTGCACAAATATGACATTTGGATATTTGCGCAAATATGATATGTGCATATTTGCGCAAATATGCACATGTCATATTTGTGTGGAACACTTGCAACCTCATCTTGCACAAATATGACATGTGCATATTTGCGCAAATATCCACATATCATATTTGCGCAAATATCCACATGTCATATTTGTGTGGAACACTTGCAACCTCATATTTGCGCAAATATCCACATGTCATATTTGTGTGGAACACTTGCAACCTCATATTTGCGCAAATATCCACATGTCATATTTGTGTGGAACTCTTGCAATCTCATCTTGCGCAAATATGACATGTGCATATTTGTGTGGAACTCTTGCAATCTCATCTTGCACAAATATGCACATATCATATTTGCGCAAATATGCACATGTCATATTTGTGTAGAGCACTTGTAATCTTATCTTGTGTAAATATGTACATGTTATATTTGTGTGGATTTATGTACCCTCATCTTGTGCAAATATAAACTTCTTATATTTGCATGGAATCACCATATAGTGTAAATCTGAGTATATTATTATACATAGTTGAGATCACCATATGTAGTCTTTGTATACCAAAGTCAGTCAGGTCAGTCATGACACCCAGAGTGCCTGCACTAGCTTGCAACCCCAAACCCTACTTTGATTAGCTTCTCTACAGGTTATGCACATGGAGATAGTGGCTTTCAGAATCATTATATCTAAGAAGTAAAGTACGACAGTTTTCGGAAATGCATGGGCGCTCGCATGGCTTTTGTGTATTTTGCTAAAGGCCACATGGGAGCACTTAGCTCGCTTAACCTCTTTTTGGAAATCTCGCGTGGTTTTGTCACGTGTTTTCGAGCGCCGACTCAAACAGCGTCGCCTGATGGGAACTTAGCATGACGTTGGTAACTGTATATGTACATGACATTAAATAATGAAAAATGATGTGTTTGAGCAGGGCAAGGCAGATATGTGATTAGATTTGAGTGTTTTCCTTACTGTGATTGTTATGGTAGTATTTTTTGTATACATACAGCAAATAATGGAACAACATATAATACAATTACAGACAGGGGGAAAACAAATATAAGATAAAAGAGACTGGGAGATGAATGGCAGAAGATTATGAAAAAGGAGAAAAAGACCACTTAGAGACTCAAAAACTGGAGAATGGGAGGGCAGGAGAACCGGGAGACGGGAGACGAGAGACGGGAGACGGGAGACGGGAGACGGGAGACGGGAGACGAGAGACGGGAGACGAGAGACGAGAGACGGGAGACGGGAGACGGGAGACGGGAGACGGGAGACGGGAGACGGGAGACGGGAGACGGGAGACGGGAGACGGGAGACGGGAGACGGGAGACGGGAGACGGGAGACGGGAGACGGGAGACGGGAGACGGGAGACGGGAGACGGGAGACGGGAGACGGGAGACGGGAGACGGGAGACGGGAGACGGGAGGCAGGGAAAAACAGGAAAATAAATACATTCGATGATACTGTTACATATTTTGTAATTTTATGTTGTGTAGTAGATTGTATTTTTACTTTTGTCAAAATCTTGCTCAAAGAACATGGAACTGACTGATCTTATGTACTATGTACTTTTATGTGGTGTGATAGATAATAGATTGTACTTTTAGTTTTTTTGAAATGCTGCTCATAAATGTATTTTCAAAATTATTCAAGATGCACAATTTAAAATTTTATTAGGATGCAGCCAGAGGCCAGGAAGCCAAAAAAGGGTGCAGCCCTCCTTGGCTTCCTGTGATGAAGGAACAATGCTCATCAGGAGCCCCCAGAATTATTGGGATGAAGCTGAGGCCAGGAAGCTAAAAAAAGAGCACAAAGCACTCTTTTTTGCTTCCTGTGCCAAAGGCAGAATGGGTGTGGACTAGTTGTATGGTAGACTACATATATCTATTCATTCAGTGTCCAGACTGACCTGATGGACTGTGGTATACAAAGACTACATATGGTGATCTCAACCATGTATAATAATACACTCAGAGTCTCCAGACACACTGACTCCATTCACACTATATGGTAATCTCAACCTTACATCAAGTCATTGCATGCAGATAGGATCATTTCTGTGATACCTGATAACCATAAAATTATGCATATGTATTGAAAACTGCCAAACATTAGGGGAGTTCAAAGCTGGATTTTGAGGCCAATTTGGATGTGATTTGGACATGGATTTGGACGCTAAAAAACGTCCAAATCCGATTTCAACTTTGACAACCCTTGATTTTGACCTGATTTTGACGGATTTGACACTGACCGTTTTTGCTTACCCAAATGCTTGCTGCATCGGAGTT